AGTGCAAAAAGCAAAACACGAATAGTTTTAGATCCTCTTTTTTTCTTTTTTTCTAAGCCGGAATGCAGGATGGGGAGTATTACAATCAGGGCATGCCCAGTTGCTGAGAAGAATTTTCGCAGTGTAGGGTTCCCTCAAATGTCCTCCTCTGGCACGATCCCCCCTTTACCCATCCTAGCTACCATTCCATGTTACTGTTTTTCTTCCAACTATCTCCACTCCAGCACTTCAGTTTTCCAGCGATTCTCTGTGGGAGGGGGGCGGGGGGGGGAGCAGAATCATATGGCTCATGGGTAACGCCAGCAACTGGAAACAAAGGCGAGCGAATACGACACTCCCCGCCCTATGGGAGTCTCCCAACGTAGTAAATAGCGCGTGTGGAACGGAAAAAATATCAACTACCAAAAAAGCCTTCACAGGCTGAGCACGCCCCCCCCCCCATCTGCCGCGACCGTCGCGTGCGACGTACCGTGGCTACAATAGCCGCCCACATTCACTATTGGTGCGCGATTCTGAAATGTTTGCACACACCCCCAAAACGACCACTGTATTTGGCACTGTTCACCAATTACTGCCTCACTGTGCAAAATACCGGGAAAATTCTGATGAAGGTTTTGCCCGTAGGTCGTCCAAACCCGTGGGGCCCGCGCCACGGTCCTCAGCGCGAAGACACCTCGTAGGGGGCATTTGGCCTTTCCGCTGGTTTTCTTAGCTACTTCCTGCCAACTTACAAGTTTCATCTTGTTGAGATCTATGACTTCTCGTCAAGTCTGAACAGAGCTCCCGCTACTGTACAGCCTTGCAGGAGTTTACAGGTCTCCGCAGGAGGCATCGGCTGTGATCGATGGGAACCAGCAAGATGCCCCCACCAAGTCGACTGCGCTGTCAACAGTTCTTGTCCCTGAGGTGAAATAGAGCGCGAGTATTCCATGAGCGGGCGAACCCAATTAATGCTTCTAGTAAACAACATTTTCAAGTTCATGGCGTCAGCTGACAATCCGCTGACTAGGAATTATTGGTTAGCCTATAATTTTCACTCTGGGAACACGGGACCAAGTTTGATCACCAGTT